GTCATTCTAAACATTAGTCCGTACAGAAAGACAGACAGACAAAATTTTAAAAATGGTTATTTATGTATTAATGCAAAAAATACCCCAAGCTCAATAAAAGACAGTTATTTCACTAATACAGACAGACAGATTTTATTTATATTTATAGATTTTAATAACTACTGCCTTAATTTATTTATATCAGCAGTATTGAAAAACATAGTCCACCTGATGGTAAGGATGCTGTGGCCTATATACACTACATCTACGTCTATCCTCGATTAAGAATCAAAATGTAGGGCTAAGATAGAATCCGTGTTATGGTCACCAGTAAAAAGGGTCTTTCGTTCTCGTCGTTCACCATGCGAAACACATCAGCCTTATAGCTATTTCACGCTGTTGTCGCGCGAGCGTGATCTTTAGTCGCAGTCGAACCGACCTATTCGTGGTTCAGCTAATCGCTGCAACGTGTCTTTACCACGTAAAATTGGATTATAATAGTTAAAGTTACAGCATATATACGTCCCACTACTGGGCACACGCCTCCTCCCATTTCTAAGAGTGTTTTAGGGCAAGGAAATGTTCGCCGCGCTGCCCCAGTACGTGTTAGCGAACTTCACATGTCTGAAATATTTTTTCTTATTTCTCAGACATGCAGATTCCCTCACGATGTTTTCCTTCACCGCCGAGCAGGTAGTAAATCAGCACTTAAAATCGCAATTACCAATTTCATTGTTGCCGGCGGGGTTCGAACTGTGAAATTAACAGCGAGCGCTAACCATCTCAGCTACCACGGCTCTCTAAATTTGATTATGGAATCTCATAATTATTTTTAAAGATCTTTCTATTGACAGTCCACTAAGTAAGTATAGTATGTTACAAAAATGTTGATTAAATGTACATACTTAATGGAGAACATTTGCGAATCAAAATGCAGATGCGTTGTCACCCGTGAGGACTAAGATGGAATGCCTCTTTTCCAATAAAAAGGGTCTCCTGTTCTCTACACTCACCATACGAAACACAGCAGTGTTAAGATGCTATTTACGCTGGTATTCTGTGAGAGCGTGGTCCTTCCCCGGTCGAGGCAACCCATTCGTGCTACAACTATACTACGAATATAGCTGCAGCATGGCTCTACCAGGTATAGCACCTATATTCTGACCATGACACAAGGAGAGGCGGCCGGAACGGAACGGATATGGGACGACCATGTCAACGGAACCCCAAAAAACCTGTATGAATTATTCACGATCCAACTGCAGCGTGATTTACACAAAGTACGAAAAACGTCATTTTCCACTTGGCTTGCTAAGAAATAGAAATCCGCGAGTACAATGCTAACGCGCGGTGGGAACGACCCGTATACTGATCGCTATCCGACATGCACGAGTATTTACAACCAAGTTTACTTTTTGCGAGCATACTCCAGCTGTGATCATGCGTTTGATGACCCACTGTGATAAATATAACCTTTCTCTTTTGATGTGAAATTTATACATCTGATTGTCACTTCATGATGGTATACAATAGCATAGCCCAACGGATCAGTAAACTGGAGTACCAAGGCGCCGCATAAAGTTCAAAGAATCGAGAAAGATGGTTTCATAGCTCATTTGATAAGCAATTTGTCGCAGCGCGGAGCCTCGGATTTGAATCCCGCACGGAAAAAGTGTTTGTATGGCCTTTAAATAATTGTTCTGCGTCTGGATGTTTGCCCTTCTGCACTTTATACATGTAACCCACCTTCACAACACAGAGAAAAATCTACTGTTGTGACATAGTTTTAAAAACAAACTTGAACCGATGAAAGTTTCTCAAATGGCAGCCTTGTACTTGTAAGGAAAGTGTAAGACTACCCCACTAGATGAAGTGACAACCTCGAATCTTTTAAGACACGCAATAAGACAATGAATGGCATATATTGAACAGTGGATTTGAGAAGAGCTGCAATGATAATGATGATGGTGGGATCTTAAGAGCAACAAAAAAATAGACTGAGCGCTGCGTATATATCAAGAGATGCCAAAACCACTCATGCTTCTTGGCATGAGCTCACACGCACATCGTTCTTCTTTTTTTCTTTATCAGCCTATAAAAGTTTACTAATGTGTTATTTTTATAGAATAAGGGTGACGAACGAGCACATAGTCCATCTCAGTCAAGAATCAAAATGCAGATGTATTGTCACCCATGAGGACTAAGATGGAATGCCTTGTTTCCAGTAAAAAGGGTCTCCAGTTCTCTACACTCACCATACCAAACACAGCGTAAGAAATGCACACTCTTGCGCCGAAAACACATGCACAATATTAAGATACACATGCGTACATAAGTACGTGTTTTTACAATACGTTGAGCATGGTCTGAGAATGGGATACTGTATTTCTTTTCATAGTGGTCCTAATGTTTGTGACTGAACATAACTTTCATCTCTTATCAACTGCCCACTGTGGAAGAGATATTTATAAATCTACATGCAAATGTAGAGGTATTCACATAATGTAGAAGAGGGAATAAAAAGTATAATTGTGCTTGTGCACAAATTGAGACTGGTCACCATAACCGAAGTTCGGTCTAGAGGACATTTTTTATCATAAATAAAACTTAACCAAAAAGTATTTATAATGGCTTCATCATCATTACAGCCTATTAAAGACCATACACATAGGCCTCGCATGTAGATCACTTCATATTCAGTTACTGTTATCTATTTGTGAGAATCTGTTATTGGCTTCTTGTTATTTACTTCGATTTGTAAGCTGTTATTTTTCCATAACATAAAATATAGCTAGTTAGCATCTGCAGTTTTTTATTATTTAGAACTGTGCCGAATAGAGGTGGCATCAAAGAAGCTACTACCCCAAATCATACATGGATGTTGTAAGAAGCAACAGTAGTAAACTGAAACAGGAAATGAGTAGCAGCGTTGAAAAAAAGGCAACATGTTCAAAGAATATTTTTAAGAGCTCGATGTCATTACAGAGCGAGGGGAGTGTATGTCACTTGAAGGGGATTATATTGATAAATAATAACAATTAAATCATACTTTTCATTCATTAAGTACCTTAGGTCGCGAACTTATCAACTGCACCTCATATTATTGAAGAAATGACCACTTATCACTATCACTAACTTATTACATCTTTGACCTATTCAAAGATATGTGGTTTTGGTAATACGTCCACTGCATGTATATTAATACACTAAACTAATCTAACACCATCTACTTATGACTAAGACAACTGCTGAAACATTCACAGTGACATCATATCTTTAAATTTTAAACGGCTCCTTTAAACAGACAACATGACTGCTTCATTCTTGATTACCTCCCACACAAACAAAGACAATTGTAAAAGTACAATGTATATTATACAAAATAAATCTTACGGTTCCGTTGTATAAAAAAAAATTATTACCCATGGCATTTGTGCAAAAATATATAGTTTTAAGTTTATTATCTAGTTGTAAAGAATACATGTTGCCAGTAATTTAATTGATCTAAGATGTGGTTATAGCTCAAAGAACCGACAACCGATGGTGAAAAAAGGTTCTCGAGTGATAGCCTTGTTCCGGTAAGTGAAATGTAGGGCTATACACATTAGATGAAGTGATGACCTGGTAAGACATCCAGGAAGTAGATGGATGCAGATGGCCCAGGACAGTGCTTTGTGACATTCTTTGGGGGTTTGCCTATGTTCAGCAACGCACTTGTGAAAAGCTATAATGATGATGATGATGAAGATGTGATTTACTACAGCTGTAACTATGAGGAAGCTTTAGGTTGAGCTATGGAGAGGGCTTTGCTCAGTTTCTCTGTTCTTTCCTATAGTATTCAGAAATATTACAAGTTCTCACAGTAGTTGCAATCATAGATTAAAAAGAAGACTGCATGTTTTAAAGGATTCTGAGATTTAATTTCATTTCCAACCAGAACTATAATCATACTTGCAGCTCATAACAATTAAACATTAAACACCTCCCTTGGTCTGCCACAAATCATAGGGTTTCAACTACACATTGTAATATAGCTACAAATTGTGTTGCAACTATGTTATCAATTAAATCTAGAGTTGCAGTCAGTCAATCACATCACAAAATGAAGTACAAAGGTGTAATCGATATCTAATGTTATAATACAGCAAAAACAATGAAAATTCTACTTTTATTCTTAAATTATGAAACTTTCACAAGCAGAGTAATGCCAGGAGTGATCTATGCCATATTTTATCCGAAAAATATGCAAGATTTTCTTTGTGAAATTGAAAAACTTATAAATAACATGATTTTTGATATTACCTTCTAAACTACAGGAGATAATATATACATACAGGAAAAATGGTTTGTGATTTTACACAAAAAGGTCCTTACACTTTTTACAACCTCTAAGTGGACAGCCATGGCAGAGTCTACATTACCTGAAGATGCCTCGAGTAGAGGCAAAACACATGTATTTTCATCAGTGGTGTATCTTTCCTAGTTTAGTGGTGTTGGGAGTAGTGGTGCTGGGATTAGTGGTGATGGGAATAGTGCACACAGTTGAGGGAGGGCGGGAGGTGCTTGTCAAACTAGGTAAGACACATCATTTTATTTTATCGAGCAGATGTACACAAGGTAATTTTACCAACTTTAATATAATGGATTTCCACAAAGTAACACCTGATTCTATTGATAATATAATTAATAGATCTTCAATTTCTATTTTAACTATTTTCCCATATTGTACAGTTTTCGAGACAATAGCAAAACACGTAGTTTAAAATGGTTTTTCAATAATTAACTACATTACAATTATAGATATGCAAGTATTTTTTATGGGTGAAGTCACAGATAAAAGCTAGAATAAAAATAAATGTTTATAACAAGTATTTCGTTAATAAAACACTAATGTTTTAGGCTCACTAAGAGTACGAATAAAAGTTATGTAAAGGAAATAGAAAGAATTTTGAGCGCAAGTACTTAAATTTAGCTAAAAAGAATAGGTATATCAATATTATGAATGCTTATAAATTTCTTACCTGCTGCTCTTCAAGAAATGTAGTGGATAGTCTGTATGCAATCGCTGAGAACATTACTAAGCACTTGACAGTGCTAATGTCTTCGGAATTCCTAAGGTGCCCATTCTAATCCACTTCGCAAATAAAAATCAACTCTACCGGGAGACGAAAAGCAAATAGAACCTCTTTTAACAAAAACAAATAGAACCTTAACTGCTAAAGGAAAACTCGCGGAAATTCAAACGGAGAACAATGAGTCATGGATATATACGATAAAAAGCATCGTGCGTCGTCGGGTTCCAATGGGTATAACTGTACTGGTCTTAACAACTACCGTAACAGTATTTCAGACGGCCGACACGAGCGCATTAAAACGTGAGAATCGTAGGACAATACTCGTGAAACTGTGGGAGATCGAGAGGCGTTGCCACTTGCCATCATAGTAAACAATCACGTCACTGAACCTAAATACGGACTAATTATGAATAACTTTCTGTAAACCGATGTGCTATATTCTAAAACTTATGCACTTACTGGAGGTACGAAATCCGCTTAGGAGCTTCTTTACTTAGAGTAATTATTTTATTTCAAAACTTTCACTATGTAAATATTTTTCACTACTTTCGTCACTGGTCATTCGCTTTTATTTTTTTATATTTTATCTTTACAGTCTTACACGGTCCACAGCATAGATAAATAAATATGCGTCCGTCCACAGGACTCTGGTACACAGATAACCAAAGAGTATAGTAACTGTCCTATACAGGAAAAGAGAGCCCACTCGCGCGAAATCTGTCAACCGAGGAGTACTAGCGCCGTCTGGTGTCGTTTCGCCACAATATTGTGAGAATGTGTGCGTGCGTATAACACATGCACCTCTACATATACACCTCTGTTCATGTTAATTCATTACGGCTTATGTACTAGGATTAATTATCAACAACCAACTGTGAATTAAACATTTGAAACATTTTTAAAAGATAACTGCATAGTAACTAAATGCTTCAAATGTTTTATTTAATAGTCAGTTGTTAATAATTAATTAACGTGAATGAAACTAAACACAAATATTTTTTGAACTTAATGAAAATAAAGGAGATTGATAAAGATTTAACATAGTTTTGACAATACAACACATAGAACTAATATTTTTATTCTAATGTTTATATCATTAATACATTAATAACACAGTGTCTATACAAAAAGCGTAAATTTTATTATTTTAATAAATTAATGAGTTTATTATAATAAATGAATCATAACAAACTTTAACATTACGAAATGTTAAGCTAATATCATAAGGATAAACTTAAACGGTTATGAATCAATCCAAAGCTGTAACCACGCTTGGCAAGTGGGTTGGCAACTGCAGTTATTAGGAAGATCAGTCCACCTGCTGATGTGTTTCCTTCTGTCACCTCTTACGATAAAACCCACGGAATGATAATATGGAGTTGTGGATATTCTGAGACTGTCACTACACGATAATCCAATATTTTTTTACAATAAATGATTCGAAACACAGCTTTATTATAACAAAATATTAAACTAATATCTTTAACAATAAATTTTCACAAACAAAATATGAAAATAACATTTTTTAACAATAAATTATTCATAAACACAGCGTTGATATAACAAAATATTAAACTGAAAAAATATTAAATGCTTTGGCATATGGTCTGACACAACTGGTTACTTCCCTACGCGGATTCCAGATGTGGAGGATCATACGCCTTCCCTGTTGGACTTTCTGCTAACCTCTCATCCGGACGGATATTAGGTTGGCGGTCCACCACTGTGCGATTATGGCTTGTGGAATCAATTACCACCAGCGATTTTTCCGGACCGATACGACTTAGGGACCTTCAAGAAAACAGCCTACTCCTTTTTAAAAAGCCGGCAACTAATAATCTAACTAGCGAAAAGATAAAAAGAGGGTTTGGCCTCTTGTTATTCATAACAGCTTTGACAATAGAAAATATGAAATAATATTTGTTTAATTAAATAAGTGATTCATCAGAATACAGCTTCGACAATCGCCTCATAGAAGAAATATTTACCATAGTTGCAGATAACTGTATACTAGTCAGAGCTCTGCTATCTGGTAGTGAATAGTAATGGGTCAACTCGAGTTATCTCGGGTTGGATCTCCTTAACTCGAGTTTGGGCAGCTATATAAACGGATCAAGTGAGCCAGCAAAAGAGAAAGAGCGCGATTCGTTCGTTTTATGCGCGCTTTGTGTTTCTAAAAGTACAATACAAGCTACAACCAAAACAATTTCTAATTTAGAATTTTATAATAGCCAAGTAATGTAATTTAATTTCTTTTATAATTTTGATTAATTATGATCAATATAGTAATGTAACTCACAAACCAATTGTAATACCCGAAAAGGGTGTTTAAGTTGTAATATACATCAAATTTAATATTAACGCCAAATATAACTATATATATATTTTTAATTTAATAAAATTTAAATTTATTTAAGTATATTTTGACTGCGATAATAAAACTTTTAATAGCTTTTTTTTTATAGGATAAGGGTGACAAACGAGCATACAGTCCACCTGATGGTAAGTGGCCGCTGTGGCCCAAAGACATCTACATCTATCTTCGATTAAGAGTCAAAATGCAGATGCGTAGTCACCCGTGAGGACTAAGGTGGAATGCCTCGTTTCCAGTAAAAAGGGTCTCCGGTTCTCTACACTCACCATACGAAACACAGCAGCGTTAAGCTGCTATTTTACGCTGGTATTCTGTGAGAGCGTGGTCCTTCCCCGGTCGAGCCGACCCATTCGTGCTACAACCATAATATAGATGCAGCATGGCTCTACCAAGCTTATGTACTTACATCTCAAAGCTATGCTAATATTGTTTCGTGAAGACTGCTATACAACTTATTTTGTCGTTAAATACAGGTACTTACTGTAACAAAGATTAAAACCAAAAATACTTAATAAATATACCTTTTCATTTCAATCTTACATAATAACTTTGGTTATTATAGTTATCCAAATCCACCAAAAAACTTAATAGAAAAACAAATTTATAAAAAATATTTAGAAATTTTGTACAACCGACTTCAATATAAATGATTAAGAATAACTCAAAAATTATCAGTCAGACCTTGATCAAATTTATATGGGACCACATGAGAAGTACCAGCTTTTAAATAAAAAAAAATAATCGAAATCGGTTCACGCATAAAAACCTACGGTCGTATTGAGTACCTCCTTCTTTTTGAAGTCTGTAGAAAAGTAATATGTAACAAATCATTTACTCTGTTTAGTACTGCTTGAGTTTAAACTCGAGTTGCGTGAATTACAACTCGAGTTAACTCGAGTTTTTTAAGTAGGCACATCTATAGTCTCTGGTCCTAATGTAATACCATGGAGTATAGAGTAGTCTACTCTATACTCCATGTAAACCCCCACCCCCCCACACGAGCCTATGCACATCTCAAAAATATTAATTATTTAAACTGCACCCATGTAGTTTAGAAATAAAAAATAGTTATATTCGTTGACCTTATAACGTCGATATTACTTCAAATGATTAGAATTGATTACTTTACAGTATAAAAAAACTGCACTTTGCTTGGATATAATTGCGCTATCGTTAAAAATGCATTAAACGCAATTATAAGCTCAAAAATTGATTAAAACCAAATTTGTTAAATATCGATTGGGTGATTTTTTATGAAGAAAGAACCATGCCCACTTTTCATACATTTAAAAACCTGATAGTAAAAGTTTATGTATAGTTATAAGGTATAGTAGAAAAACTTCCTGTAAGTTTAGAAAATAATTTCATGTAGTCATTATTACGATTTAAACGCTACGAAGCCCAAAATATTAATGCTACTCTTTAGGTTAGGATTTGCCGTTACCAAATATTTAATTTTTCTATCCCTTATTAATGTTCTATCACCACTTCCTCTGAGATTATACTGAGAAAAATCTTGTGTATCCCTACATATTTCTATTCTATATGATCAATGAAAAACATACAAAATGGGACAATACACAACGAGACGCAAACACAACAAGTGATTATATTCTCTTTGGCAACAATGAAGGCACAGACTAACTAGTAGAAATGACGGACTGCGTCGATGCCAATAGTAAAACTTTTAAATGTCAAAAAAATTCGTTTCACTCGTGTGCACTCAATGACATATTGCATTATTTATTTATTTAATTATTATGTTATTTTTAATTAATCTGTAATATACCAAAAGTAATAAAGAAATATATATAAAAAGGAATATATATATATAAGAATATAGAGAAATACTTACTGATTAAATAAAATAAATGTTTAAAACTTAGAAACAGAGTTCAATTAAGTCAAGTAGCGAAATGCGAAGTATGTGAAATGGAACGTCTTAGAAAAAGGGTAGTTGAGATGCGTTCAAAATATGGTGGTAATAAGTTTACCCTTGACGTAGAATAAGCATAAATAAATATTAAAAATATTTCTCTCCTGCGTTTCTTTTAACATTGTGATCCGCGTATTTAATTAAGAATTCAATTAGCTGAATTTTAAGATTTATTTCATTTCTATACATAGTTAGGTGCAAAAATAGGAATCCTTCTTTCATTTTATCAACTTTTTGCGTTTATCATTGCTTTAAATGCATTTCTAACGATGTTGCAATTATATTCAAGCAAGGTGCAGGTTTTTTATACTGTAAAAAGTACCCAATTCTAATTATTTGAAGTAATATTGTGTCCGCTTGAATTTAATATGCAAAATTTTATATAATTACTTACTGCTGCGATTAGTTCAAAACCAGATGATCATTTTATAGTAATTGGTGATTTTAACTTGCCTTGTATAGATTGGAAATTAAAGAAACCTATAATAGTAAAAAAGGGAAATGTCGATATGCAGAATTCTGCTATCGATATAATTAATACTACTTCGTATTTGGGTTTATCTCAACACAATTATTTTTTTAATTCACATGGTAATATACTGGATTTAATTTTCTCTAATATATCATTAACTATCGTTAAATCTAAAGTACCGTTAGTGAATGAAGATGTATTTCATCCGTCAGTCGATA